ATATACGAATGATGTCTAAATAATATTAAATTTATGTACATTGACACTAAATACAGAATTTATGGGGCACTACGTAGAGCTCATTTACAAATAGATTGAAATAGATATGTTCTGAAAAGTAAGCGCTTCACAGTTTATGCATATCGCGGTTACCCTCCTGTTCGTAATCTGATAGTGAATTCTGAATTCATGGCTCAATCGCTCTAGAGTGGGTTGCTGGTTAGGGTTGAGATCACTGAATATTATGGCCTATCAGTAATATTATACTGCAATAAAACTCCATCGATAGACCCTCAAATTGTGGTCATTTTCCGCCCTAATTGTAGTCACTTTTGTAATGTATGTAAATTATACTATCGTAGTTGTGTGTATCGTACACAGTCGTAAGTGTACGTATCCTGTACGCTTTTCTTGTATGTACAAATGGTGTGCTTTGAAAAATACTTGCAATTATCTCTTGTATTCGAACTGCCAAGTTGGTCTTTTACATGAGTGTGCAGGATTTGATTTTTCGTTGTGCATCATCGATTTATGTTATTGCGTGGAAGAATGGTATGCAACTAATATCTGGCGAATAATGGATTGGGAGGTGAACTACTTTCTGCAGCAATTCTAAGTATGCCACTTGACATCTACTCTAACAACGATGCAACGTGGTGATATAAAAAGAAAAGAAAATAGAAGCAGATGAGCGAAGTAAAGCAACTACTTGCATACCGCATACGAGTAGCCGGCACAATTGTCCGTCAAGATATACATATTGCCGAATCGTATTATTATATTGGGCTATCGACTAGTATCCTCGAATAGTATATAAATTTGTATATTTTATTTGCAGTAAACTATAATATCGAATAGTTACACGATCAGCTATACAATGACGATTCCCCTAATTGCATCAGCACGCGCTCGCACGATAGTCGTTACCGGTCCCTTTTGGCCCTTGACCGTGACTGGCTGGTATTGTTTAAGCACTCTCAAACATGGCCTTCATCATAATCTCCTTCATCAATATCGGCATCATCTTACTTCTTATCCTTGCAACAGTGAGAGCTAGCGATTAGACAACTTGAAGTTTTACAGTATCGCTCTCCTTATGGCCACCGCATTTGCGATGGTGATGGCTGCTTCGCCCACCCCTATGGAGCATATGTGCTCTCCCTCCAACAACAACGGCAAGTGCGAGGGTCTGAACAAACATATTGACACCAGTCGGCACTGCAACTTGAGCGGCGATGACAAGTGTTCTACCACCTACTGTTGCATGGTTAAACACGACGATGATGATGATATTGATGACGACATGATGATGTGCTCTCCCGATAACAACCAGGGCAAATGCGAGAGTCTTGGTAAGAAAATTGACAAGCACGTGACTTGCTACAGATATGGGGATGGAAAGTGTGCCAGTTCTCACTGCTGCAAGGCCCACCATGATGATGGTGATGATAGTGATCACGATGATGATGATAAAGAAGACAAGATGGAGTGTTCCCACGATACCAACCAAGGCAAGTGTAAGAGCCTGGGCAAGGATGTAGACCAGCACGAGACCTGCTACAGATACGGTGACAAGAAGTGTGCCAGCTTTCACTGTTGCAAGGATAAGAAGTAGACGATGATGACAAGGTCGGTGACACATTTATAGCGGTCACGAGTTAGAATGCTCAATCAGCACTAACTAAGGAAAATACTAGATTATGCTTTGTTGATCAAGGGAAGGGTCATAACAAAAACGGGATTTAAAGACAAATTTGCGAGTTTAAACTATTGCTACTACATAATTCGCTAGTGAACATGTTCTCGTACAGGCATGTAAACACTTATATAGTCTATTGTAAATAAAGCGCGCCAAGTTTATATATATTTATCGAGGAACTTGTCGATGGCTGTATATACCGATTACAATATAGAAATAACTACAATCTGAAAGTCTATCCCAATAGGTATGTACTTAGTTTAGACTCGCCTGGTATGCTCGTGTATGGCAATATTATATATTCTGTGACCTCAACTTCACCAGCTACCAATTCTGCCGATTAGGCGGCTCATGTGAAGCTTTTTTAAACACAGGCGATGTTTTGAAAACTTGACTACCATAGTTACACGTTTCCTAACCCGGTGAAAAATATACAAGAGTATGTTGAAGTAAAACAGTAGTTGCATCATTCTGAATACAATTTCCTGGGCGCGACAGCTTAACAATCCACCTTCACGCAGTTATCCCAGATCTTTTTCTTTGGTCTTAATATCAGAAGATGAAAAATCTGTTTGTTTGTTGTCGACAAATGATTCCGAGTGTAAATAGACTCTTAAAGTGTAATAAAAGTTAAAGAAACACTACTACAGAATAAAATAAAATAAATACAATACGAGTTTTAAAATAAATCTGAGAATCAAGAGACAATAGATCTAAAATAGTAAAAATATATGCCTCAGAGGTCTCAACTCGCGCAATATATCTCTTGTTAGAATGTAACCGATACATTTGTCAGTTTAACTCCAGAGAGTGCGCCTAAGAGTATATTTCTATGTGACTGATTCTTGATCCAGTCTCCAAAGAGTGCGCCGACGAATCTAGAATCTATTGAATAGTACAGTACCGAGTGGCACGAAGAGAAAGGTACAGACTTGTGAGTGACCCTTTATTTTATTCATATTGCATTATAGCCTTTACAATATTTTGTTGTTTGACAAGATCTGTTTGATTTGAATGCGGTGGTATTATAATTTATACCGAATTCGGAAGTTAAAATATCTCGATCCGTTTAATATTTACACGCACAATATCAACATGAACCCAAAAAGCCAAAGACAATATGACGTACGTCATGAATTTTTGGCGGGAAATTGCGAACTGTTTCTTCAATCTATTTCTCTCAATGATCACCTTCAGGGGCTGTATTGTATATATGTAATAAATAAATAGTATTTTAGTGAGTGTAGCAGTGTGCATACTCGACACTACAACGCATATATATTTATGAAGGTTATGATAAGTTATGAAGCACTGAATATCTGTACCCATCTGGATATTCTTATTCATTTATGATACATTTGTGACGTTTTTTAATAGATCTAGGAAAACCTTCTGTCTGGTTGGTGGGTGTAACATCCCTGGGCGGTCTTCGCAACGAAGCAAATTTTGCAATGCAACTATTCTGACGTTCAATACCAAAAACAACAGATTTTAGAGATACATAATAGATCGATATAGGGTGCACCCTCTACAGTCGTGAGCCTCACTCCATTACAACGCACTTACTGATGTGTACACGCCGGCACCATACTTAGTGTATATATATATATATATATATATATATATATATATACATATATTTAAATGTATATAAGGTATGCAACACAGATACGTAGATTTAAAATATATAAGAAAAGCTCCTGCGCAAAGGTATAGTTACAATGGAGCTGGACACAGAGACAAAACAGAACACGACGCGTATCCAACACTCACTTGGCAGCATCCTGCAATCTCTGAGGATATTTGAGAACAGTGTGCATCAGTTCTCCCGAGTTAATAATGATCTGATCAAGATCAACGGAACATTCGGACAGTTTGTTCAAGGAATGGCACTCACTGGTGAAATCACAAGCTATCCGAAGGTCAGTGGTGATGAGCGCTATATGTGACATATGCGACATTTACCTGTATGCCCACCCATTATGTGATCTCTACTATGCCGACTAAATTACACCGGAAAATTAATTGAGGTGACGAGTTTTACTTCTGGATACATGTTTGTGGACGCTTATTGAATTGTTGAGCGTTGGTGTATATTTTTTTGTTATCGTTTTTAATTAGATTCATTTTGTTTGCGTATATGCATCTACAAATCGCCAATCGTTATATACCTGTGCCTGCACACGACTAACCAAATTACGGCACGATATGTATACTATATCATTCCAGTAAACTATAGTGCACGCATCGTGTGATTTGAAGCTACTTATTTACGGAATTCATGGCTGAAGCACCACCTACTGTGGATATCCAAGTCAATAGCAAGAACAATTTCGTGATAATTATCCGTTTCCGAATCATGCTTAGTGCTCATCTGCGAGCTGAGCAGTTCGGTGGTCCATACCTATATCAGCATACACTTAAACGGCTTTCTATAGGGCCGGTCTACGCTATTTGTGGCAGCACACAAACGTAGAATGTACATTATATGTACGTATGTACTATTAGTCTGTGGGTATACCCACGAGATATGCACATAAGCGTTTGGTACATGTTAGTATATATATGTTGGACTCCGCTTCGACAACTCTTACGTGTATACACGTGGCGCGCATATGAACCCCTTGCTTTACCATACTGTCTTTGTATGGTCCTAAATTGACACCATACATCATACTATTAATGCATCTTGCAATAAAATACATCATAATATTATCACATCACGATATCAAAACATCATTGAGTTTGTCCATCCTGATATGCATGTGATACCCAACTTGTACCCTTAAGACCTCTGGCTGATACTATACAACGCGTGGTACAGGGTCCGAGTTATCAGTTAGAACTGATGCGTCAACAAGAGGTGCAACGGCAGAAGGCCTTAGAGGCAGAACAAATCGCTCAGCGCGCACGCGACATGGAGAAGGCTGCGGAGAGAGAGAGACACGCACAGAAGACTGGCAAGGACACCCGCAATAGACGCACAGGCAGCCAGATACGCGGTGGGTAGGGGTTGGGGGTGTGGACATATGTGGGACATGGGGTTGTAGGGTGTGGATGTGTATTTGAGGGATATTCCTATGTACTGAGATATATGGTACATGTTAATGAGTGTATTGGTAAGAGTGAGTGAACTCTTTGAGATGTCAGGCCACTGGCGATAACTGCATAAGGTGCTACGCATTTGTTGTCGTGGATATTGGAACACAGTTTTCTTCAGCAGTGTCTGTGGGTGCATTAACCCAATACTCAGGACCAGTACAGGGCTTTCTGAAATCTTTCTCGTACAACCGTTGTGCCTGCCCAATGGCTCGTAATAAGGTTCTACATTCGATGCGAATGACATAATATATATATGTATATATGTATGTATGTATGTTCAAGCTGTTCCTAATAGTGGCGCGTACCACTATGATTACCTATACCAATGGGGTCTTAATTTCCAGCAAAGAATCGACTGGTGTTCTCACTAACTGATTAGATATATGGTAGTTGATTCTCCTATGTGTGTACTTATTACTTATTTCGCGTCACGCTATTTTCGCATACAATCCCACAGCCCCCGCGGCGTCACCCTGTGGTGCTCCAGCCACGAAAAAGAGCCGAAGTAATACGCGTAAGTCTAAATTTTTTTCACACGTACGTCCCAATATATCACACGTAAGTCTATTTTTTTCACACGTACGTCCCAATATATCTCACGTATGTCTATTTTTTCACACGTACATCCCAATATATCTCGTCAGTATAATAGTATTACACGTGAGTCGGATTTTGTCACACTTGAGACTATTCATGTCACTCAATAGACTATTCAGGTCATACGTAAGTCTTACTATGTCACAAGTGAGGCTACATATCTCACACGTAAGTCTAATCATGTCACACGTGAGACTAATCATGTCACGCCTAAGTCTAATTATGTCACACGCAAGTTTAGTGGACTCACATGCGAGTCAAATTGTAACAAACGTAAGTCTCATTGAGTCAATCGAGCAACCTTGCATGAGGAATTCGAGTATGCGGAAGTTATGCGTGCGATTCCTCTGTATACTTGCTTTGTATTTGCACGCACAGGTACTCTTATATACAAACGTGTCGGATTCATAAACGTGTATGTACATCGAGTATGCGTATACGCATGACCAGAAATCGCTCTAGTCTGGCTATGGCGACAAATGCGTGCATGTCCGCATATCCACCTGAATATCCACGCGTTTATCTGTAAGATCTCTCGCCTCTTCCACTACATCCATCTTCAGCTGGCCACGCGAAAACAAAGGCTCGAACTCAATCCGTTGCCCAGGTATGTGTATACGATGCCGGGACTATCAAGTAGTCGGGTTAGTGACAAGCACTTCCTTCGCCATACGATATGTGAGAGTGCGTGCTATTACTAGGTCCTATTTCTAAATGTCTCGTATGGTGTTCAGTCATGTCTGATGGGTCACATTTGCATTTGCCTGATTGAGCGTTCCCCATAACCCCACAGGCCCATTTCTCGGGTGTCATGTTTCGTGCAGCGTAGTCGTTATTCGCGTACAAGTCTGTGCATACTTCCCGTACGACACTTGAAGTCCAACTACGAAAGTATTGTGGAATAACCGGTTTCTGATTAGTAGACGTAAATGCTCGTGGTTGATCCCTAACCTTGCTATGGTGCAGTCTCATTGCAGTGCAGCATTCAAATCGGGATGCGTTAGCATGACTATATAAATTAATACCAGACCGGATATAAGATATAGATATACATAGATATACAGGTGCACATAGATACAGAAGAGTCTACGCGTACGTTATGAAGTAGAATCCCGAATCTTTTTCTATATGCTGTAATGTTAATAACGTCTGCCATTCACATTTCATTCTGACAGCGACAACGTGCAACGCATCACACGAAACGCGTTACTCAGATTGTCAACTGCTGTCCCTCCAAGTACCAAGCAATACCACATGTCGACTACATAAAGGTATGCCTGTGATGTACCAAGAAAAGCCACATGTCAACTATATAAAGGTATGCCTGTGATGTACCAAGCAATATCACATGTCGACTATATAAAACATGTCGACTATACAAAGGTATGCCTGTGCCCATGTGTATGCCAAGAAAAGCCACATGTCAACTATATAAAGGTATGCCTGTGATGTACCAAGCAATATCACATGTCGACTATATAAAACATGTCGACTATACAAAGGTATGCCTGTGCCCATGTGTATGTGATCTACGTATCAAGCAATATCGCATGTCGACTGTATAAAGGTATGCCTGTGCCCATGTGTATGTGATCTATGTTTAAAGCAATACCACATGTCGACTGTATAAAGGTCTGCCTGTGCCCATGTGTATGTGATCTATGTTCCAAGCAATACCACAAGTCGACTATATAAAACATGTCGACTATATAAGGGTAAGTCGGTGCCCATATGTATGTGTTCGAAGTACCAAGCTACACCACATGGCGACTATATAGTGGTAAGCATGTAGCCATGTGCGGCATACAATTGTAAGCGTATGGGTGAATGTGAGATTGCAAAGCCATCGAGTTGTGCTGGCCGCTGGCTGAGACTCCTGAATGGTAGGTGCATACCCCATAGTCACACGCTATACTCGTCTGCATATGTAGTGTATTGTACTGCATGTTATATACTTGTGTATGTATAAAAAGTACCTTATAATCAAAGGCGCCGAACGGGTGCTTATCTATCCACCCCATCTACACCTCTGAGTGTTCACGCTTAAGCGCTTAAGCACGCCTGTAGGAGAGTATATATCTTAGCCTATGTAGTAGTGTATATGAGTGATATAAGACATCATACGCAGGTTGTGATATCTTCATATTCGATTTGTAATGTCTATGTCCCTTCTGCTAAATTCACGGAATTAATGCCTATACGTACCTACAAAGAGTTCATTATCAGTACTTGTACGCGTCTATAAGAATATACACGGGTGATTGAGTGAATGTTTTCCATTCCTCTGTCTATAAGAACATACTTGTATCATTGACTCGATGTTTTCCATTCCTGTGTCTATAAGAATATACATGTATCATTGGGTCGATGTTGTCCGTTCATACTTTCAAAGTATAAATTAGCTCCGCCCATTTGTCCACTTAATAGAAAATCGCCGGGCTGCTGAGCGAAACCCCTGATGGCTTGACCCAACCCGAGATCATCGAACACACAGGCATCCCCCGCACCAATTGCATTGAGTATATGAGCATGTTGCTCCGTCTCGGGGAGGTCACTCGCGACAACAATAAGAAGGTACAATGATTTTGTTAAATGGAATGTAAACATGGCCCGATGTCGAGCTGGACGTAGCTGTTGTGTGTGGGTTTGGTTTGTGTGGATTAGACGTGCATGGAGTACACAGGCAGACAGTACAATATAAGTACAGTTAGATACTTGTGGTCAAATATCACGTGGTCTCATTAAACCGTTTGTTGTCGTAGGTACACATGGAGAGGAAATGCCCTGAAGTATATCAATGACTATAAACCAATAGGGCACCGTATAGCACCTCATCGCCTTCTTAATAAGTCGCTGTCATTTTAATCTCAGGGGTACCGGTACAGGCTGCATCCGAAGCATTTCGACAGGTAATTGAGGCTCCTTCCTTCCCGCTCAGCATTGTTGGTGGCTTCTGAGACTCAAGGTGGCCATACGGGAACTTGTGAGATGGACGGAGGTGGCTTAGTACCATCAGTATATACGAATACAATGTACATCTTAGTACCATCAATATATACTATTCCAATGCACATCTTAGTACATTCAATGTATACCTATTTCAGTCTACATCCTAGTACATTCAATGTATACTATTTCAGTCTACATCCTAGTATATATTCAATGTATACTATTTCAGTCTACATCCTAGTACATTCAATGTATACTATTTCAGTCTACATCCTAGTATATATTCAATGTATACTATTTCAGTCCACATCGTAGCACCATATACTATTCCATCAACATATACTATTCCAAGGTACATCGTGCGAGCTGTATTGTCAATTCTAGACAAGTAACAGATACTTATGAACTGCATATACGACGGCAAAGGCTCAAACTCGCAAGCGCCAGAGTTGAACAAATGAGTCTCTATCTAAAGATCGAGTGATACAATGAAGACTGCAGAATACAGACTTTGATACATATTCGATGAAAAAGCGTATCAGTTGTTTCACAGGAGAGTATTGGTGTGTGTTTCCATATGGGGTTGTCGTTCATACGGACAATTTGGTGAAGTTCAAAGCAATTGCCCCCAATCGTCCCCAGAGAAAAATTAAATGGTACGGCATAGTGACGGTAGTCGAATACTCCGCCTTAGCTCTGCGGAAGACTAATACTGCCGCGCACAGAGTCCTGTTATTGGTACTTGATGTCTAATGGCAATAAACAAATACATGGTATACACAATTATAACAACATCATGTGCAATATGGCTTGGGAACGCATTAAAATAAACGAAAATAAAGGCTTAAAAAACTATGAATCCTCGAGCAAGTTCAATCTTGAAAAATAAAGACACCGCTACGATAGGTTTGTATCGCATGGATAACTTAATTTCTAGTGCCTGTTCAAGTTTTATACCAAATTGCACGATGTCTATAACATGACTGATGACCAGTACACATTCATAACAGCCACACAGAAACGGAATGCTATTGAACGTCATCAGTGATGCGGTGTTAACGCATCTTTGGCGTTTATAGCAGCTTTACCCTTACTTGGGTTTTTGTTTTGTCTTATCCGTGGTGTTTAGCTTTGGGGTTTTCTGGCCAAACTCAGACAGTTGCGTGGCGGTTAGTAGGATATTTGTCGCGCATCAGCTAAAATATCACGTATACTTAACTATGAGTTTGTCTGACGATTCAACAATTGAAACATCATATAAGTATCCCTTGTATCGACTTAAGTACTTCTGGACCAAAGTGACATTAAATATGTTCTTCAACTGCAACGCCGTCGACTGAGTGTAAGTATATATATATATATATATATATATATTTACAAATATGTATATATATAT